CTTTTTCTCTCTCTTCCTCTCCCTCTTCTACGAATCCCCCCTCCTTCCCCGTCCTTGCGTCAAAATTCCCCCTATCAGCACCCTCACTCCCGTCTCTATCTCCTCCACCCATTACTTTAGGTCTTCCAATTTCCTGTCCATATCTTATTTATATACACTCCTACTATGTTCCACCACTTCTTCCCTAACCTCACCTTTATCGATAGCATCCCTTCTTTATCTTTTTTCGTCCTTCCTTTTTTCATTTTGACCCCTACCCTCACTCCTACTATCATTCCTCCTACCGCCCTTTCCTTCCGATTCTTCCTTCCTGCTTTCTGACTTCCCACACGTAACTTCTCGGCAGCCGTTCCTTTATCTTTTCTCATCCTTTACCATCCACCCACTTCTCACATAACACCATTACATCCCATTCCTCCAGCCCGTTCCAAAACTCTTTATCTTTATTTGTTAATCCCGCCACATTCCAAAAAGCCACCTTATATATTCTCCTTCTCTCCTCTATTTCTTTCTCTCTTCTCTCTCCCTCCTCCACCTCTTTCTCTCCAAATTTTCTCTCTAATTCCTCCCTCTTATCCTTTTCATTCTCTATTCTTCTTTCATCCACCCGTTCCCTCTTTCTTTTCTACTCAACCTACTTTTGCACTTCCTCTCTTTTGCTTTCCTTCCCTTTCCCTTGCCCTGCTTCCCAACACCTCCCTCTACTATCCCTAAGCACATCTCTTACCTAATCCCACACCCACCACTCCCCCTCTATCCATACCTCTCCCTGCCCTATTCGTACCCTCTCCTCTTGCCTTCCATGCAACTTGATTTACCCTCCATTTTCTTCCCATGTCAAATCTTCCTCTATCCAAGTACTTTTGTCTCTCAATTTCCACTTATTTCTCATTATTCTTAATTTCTCTTCCTCACTTCCTACTCTTACTACTGCCATACCTCCCTTCTCTCTCCTTCACGCATCTATTTTTCTAATCTCCTCTATCTTAACCTCTAAGCCTATCTTTTTCATCACCTCCTCTACTTCCCCCTTTATTTTTCCCGTATCCTCTTTCACTCCTTTTATCAAAATATTTCTCTTCCATTCTCCTCTCTCCTTCACTTTACACCTCCTTTCCAGCCTTTCCACCCTCTCCTTCCAATCAGACTTCTTCTTACCCCCTTCCTTTTCCCTCTTCTGCTTTTTTCTGCACTTTTTCCTCCATCACGAACTCCTCCTTTTAACTCCATTTGCATCCCCTCCAATTTTCCTTCCAAATTTTCTATTTTATTCTTAACTCTTCTCTCTCTCTTTTAGTTGGTTTCTTATTTTCTCAACTTCTTCCACCATTGCCTCCCTTTGCCCCTTCGCCACCTCTCTTAATTCCTCTCTCACTCCCCTTAACCCCTCCCTCAGCTCTTATCCTAATTCTCTCAATAACCCTTTCATATATCTTCCCCTCCTGGTGGCGTTCTCACTATCTTCCTGCTTTTCTTGAAAAGGTCCTCGCTCCCTTTCCCAACCGCTCCTTCTTCCTTCTCCATTGTATCTTTCTTCCTCTTGAAAAGCTCGTCTATGTTCCCCGTACCGCGTCTTTTTTTTTCCATCTCTATGGCCGTATTGCTTCCCCGCGTTATTCCCGAACTCCCCAGAATTCCCTAGCTCTTTACCCTTTACCCCCCGCTCTATACTCTTCCCCTTCTACGTCTGTCTCTCTAACCTCAACCTTCCTGTTTCTCTTCAGCCTCCACGGGCTCTCTCTCTCTCTGAACCCTCCTCTCCCACACTGTGTTTGCCCCTCGCTTACCACACACTCTCTCTCGCTCTACCTCTCACACTCGCACTCCGTTATTCGCTTACAAAATCTGTCGTCTCACATCTAACCAAACGGAAACGGAAGTCCCACATTTATTATTCCATTATCCCTCCTTTTCTTTTCTTTCTTCTGTTCTTTCTAACTCTTCACTATCTCATTTTCTATCCTTTATTCACACATAATATGCCGTAAGGACGTAAAACGGAAGCGTAAGAAAATCGATCAATTCCAATCGAGTATTTTCCCCTGGGATTACGGACAGCACAATACTTGATTGGGATTGGTCAATTTTCTTAAGCTTATGTTTTATGCGTCCTTACGCAATTTTATGTGTGAAGGCCTTTACACTTTCAATGTTTTCTACCGTCATTCTTCTTATTTCTTCCACCTCTATAATTTCGCCTATTTTTTCTATTTATTTACTAAAAGATAATCTATTAGTACAATCATACCTTCCCTTTTGTATGGCCACTTTTTTTCTTTCATTTCTCGTCACATTCCGTTAACTAAATTATTATTATTTTTAGATAATTTAATTAATTAATGTAATTAAATCAAATCGATTTAATTCTGGAGAGTTCCAGGGTTTTAATGTTCCAACAATAGCTGTGTTTCAAGTCCGACAAAAAATCGGTGCGCAGTTGAATAAGTTGGAAAAATATATGTATACATACACACACAAATTAATATTAAGTTGTCAAAAATCTAAACTCGGACCGTATAGCATTTTATTCTAATTTGGTTATATATAGTAACGGTCCTATTTCTCTTATTGTTATGATTATTTTTTATAATAATTTTATTTTATTGCCCATTATAAGCATATTGTATATATATTTTTTCAATTTTTTCTAATATGCATATTTTTTTAAGTTACAAAAAATGCAATATGTATAAATAAAATCTAATTAATATTTATTGATTTACGCAATCTAAATTTAAATCAATTTCGATCTGACAATACAAATTAAAATTAATAATGAAAGAGAAACCACAAAAAAACCAAGTACATCTCTGAAATATTTTTGAGCAAGATTAATACTTCTTTTTTTAGCTTTTTATAACATTAAATAAGATATTTATAATACCATAGGATTATTAAACAAATAAATTACTAATAAATTATTAATAGATGAAATCCATATTTTTAATGTAAAATACATAAGTTTAGATTAGATTATGACATAAGAACTTGTGCAGTTGAATCTTCTCCCATTTTTCCTGTTCCAACTACGTCTCCATCAACCCCCCGACATCCCACTTTCTTATCCTTTCCCAAACCCTTCCTGTTTTCCTTTCACTCCCGCTACATTCCAAAAGCCTATTTTTAGGTTTCCTTCCTGTTCCTTCCCCTCCTCCTTTCTGCTGCATTCCTTTCTTCCCCCTCACCCTCTTTTTCCTCTCTTTCACTCCTTTTTACTTTCCATACTCTACTCTCTCTGACTTCTTTCCCCCTTCCCCTTAGCCTCACCACTCACTCTTCCTCCCTACTCTCCCTCTCTTCCCTCTTCTCTCCGCCCACCATTCCCATCGTTTCTTCTCTCTCCTCACTACCTTCTATTTCATTCTTCCGTCTCCCTCTCTTCTACTCTTTCTCTTCTTCTCTGTTTTTCTTTCTCCCCCTTCTTTTTTTTGCTCCTCTCTCTCATTTCCCCTTCCATCTATCAGGACTTCTTTTTCCTCATTCCAACTCCACCACCTCCCTTTTATCCAAATCTTTCCGTACTTTACCCAATCTCACCTCCTATTCCTTCTCTCCTTCTCAGCTATCCTCTCCAGGCTCCATTGCATTTTTCTTTGATTCTTTCCTTCAAGATCATGTCATTCTTTATTCTTTCCATCCGCCCTTTCAACACATTCTTCTTCTGCATTGCTTCTCTTTTTCTTACTCTATCTTTTAACCTAACTAAAACCATCTTCTTTTTCCCCGTTTTTCTTCCTATCTCTTTTACCTCCTTTATTCCTCCCTCCTTCCCCATCTCTAGCCATAGCTTCTCTACCGCTTTCTTTCGCCTTCCCTCTTCTACCTCCACCCCTTTCACTACTACATTGTTCCTCCTTTTGTCTCTCTCTTCTAACTCTCTCCACCTTTCTAGCTCTCTTACCTTCGCTTCCATTGCTTTATTTCTTTTTCCTATCTCCCACTTTCCTTCCTCTTTCACTTCTCCCTGCCCTTCCTTCCTCCCATCTCTCCATCTCTTAACTAATATATTTAAATTTATATATTAGTTAACTTTTTTATATACACTATCGCTCATTAATTTCAATATACCCCTATATTTGTTAATTTCTCTGTAAAGGATGAACATGATACATATGTTTTGTACAGAAATTAATACATTTGCTGTTATAAACACTTGCATATATTGCATTTTTATATATTATTTATGTAAAAGTGCGATACATGCAAGTGAAATGTTTATAACAGCAAGTGCATTCATTTCTGTGCAAAACACGTATCATGATGTTCATCCTTTATAGAGAAATCAACGAATCTGTTGTATATTGAATATAATGAGCGGTAGTATATATAAAGAAATTAACTAATATATAAATTTAAATATATTAGGTTGGCAAATAAGTTCGTTCGGTTTTTTGACTGGTTTTGACTGGAAAAAACCGAACGAACTTATTTGCCAACCCAATATTTGCAATATAATAAATATTTTTATAATATATTATACTTTTCTCTATATTGTTTCTTCTCTCTCCTTCTTTCTACTTTTTCTATCTCTATACCTTTTAATTTCTTCGTCTTAAAATATTTTTTACTTTTATATAAACAGCTTAAGGTACCGATACAATAAATAATACTATAAAAGCTACATTTGGATGGAACGGTAATAATTTACATATTCTACCTTATAATAGCGTAATAAATGAGAACGATTCATAGAAATAAATGTGATAGTATTTATGAAATAAAATTAAGTATGAAATATACACATTTAAGAAATATTACTTCAATGATTATACTATCTTACGCGTCATTAACAAGCGAAGCAAATAGATGCTATGATATACAGGATACCTTTAAACAATTGTTTCATTTTCTAACATTTTTCAGACATACTGTAATATGATCGTATAAGCGTCATATTTTTTTTACACAGGAATACTAACGCAAAATGTTTCGGACATTGTCACTACTAAAATTAAAAAATCAGATGAAGGGTTAGGTAATGTACATATTTTTAATTCACATATTTTTCATTTACTACCGATCATCATTTCATAATGATACATTTGCAACGAAATAGATACGTCAGTACCCAAAACGTATATCTGTAATCTAAACACAAGTTTTTATATTCTGGAAACGATACAAGTGTCTTAAAATACTTTTTACTTGTTTCTAAGCAGCATAAAATATCGATACTATCCGAATAGTATAAAAGCTGCATATGGATGGAACGATAACAATTTAGACACCCTACTTCTATAATTATGTTAAAATCGTCAGATATACTGTAATATAATCGTCATATTTTTTTACACAGAAATACTAACGCAAATTATTCGAACATTGTCACTAAAAAATTAGATGAAGATAGTTTGTAATCATACAAAGATACTGTTTAGTTAATGTACACATTTTTTTAATTCACATATCTCTCATTTACTACCGATCATCATTTCATAATGATGCATTTGCAACGAAATAGATACGGCAGCAACATTCGAAACCATCGACTGGAAAAAGCATTCTTCTTGGTCTATTCGTTGTGACGGATAAAATCGTATAATTTCAGCACTCAGCAGTGGATTCACTTCAATTGATGCGATTTTAAGACAGAGCTCAATTCAAAGAATCTTCGTTGTTACTAAATATGCTTACAAGGCCTGTGAATAGCGTTAATTTCCCTGCCATGCGTATGTCTTTCTTTTTCGTGGCTGTATCCTGATTAAGCATCATCTTGTCCGCAATATGCTTATAGACTTTTCCATTCAGCATTAACGTAAGAAATAAAAAAGCCGTCGTACCATCTGAAATCGTTAATATTGTCTTAGTATTATAATCAATTTTATAATAAGTGTTTAGTCTCCAATAGCATAAACAAAATTAATTTTAGGAAATCTAAATTATTTTATCTTTTTCTGAAGGTAGAATACAAAACAAAACTAAAAATCAAGTTCTTTTCAAATAATAGACAACTTGAATTAATTATATAATTAATGTTTATAAAAACAATTTTATATTTACTATTAGAAGGAATGTTTATAGCACTGATTACACTTACATTTCCTGGTTAGCACTTATTATGGCATGTTGTATTTTCCAAATTTTATTTCCAAAACAGAAAATACCTTCCAGCCTGTGACACCACGTATACGCCAACGAACCTGCACAGTATCGTTTTCAGAATGCATTGTGATCTTTAGGATGTCAAGTTTGACGTGTGCAAACTTCATATGACCAATGAACCTTAATAGTATCAATTGCTTCGCATAACTCACAAGCCCCTGCAATATTTTTTAAGCATATTATGAGAAAATGGAAATACTTAATGCTAAAAACTCTCAATTGCTTTAAATATTTAATCAAATTAATTTTCGTTACTCCTCTAATATTGTTGATAAAAATTATATCATAATAATGGATAATAGGAACTCAATTCACAAATATTTTAGCATAACTTGCCTACAATATAAATTGTGCTACAGAACGCTTTCTCGTTCTTTTCAACTTTTTCAATTTACAAGACAGCATATACGTACATACATGTGCAATTTTGGATACACTTTCCTCCTTAAAGATCTCTTCGGTATAAGCTCCCTGCGGTCAATATATAGCAGCAAAATTGTATACCATATAGTTGAATATAAAATGTTCCTGCGTGAGAAAACGAGAGAAAAGGAGGACATTTATAAGAGGACCTCTTGGCTAGACAATTATTCTTCAACAGTGTCTGAGAATTATTATATTTTGAAGACGCGAGATTGTACATTTGAAGCATCCAAGCTAACAAAAGTAAAGTACAATATAAACATTCTTCGGAGAAATCTTTGTTACGCGATAGTGCCCGATAGTGCGTGTCACACGTGCATACAGATCACTTTCTCGTTCTCTTAACTTTTACAACTTTTACAAGACAGCATATATACGTACGTGTGCGATTTTGGATATACCTTCCTTCTTAAAGATCTCCTCGGCATCAGCTCCCTGCCGTCATAATATATTTCACTATCACTATCATCTATCACGCGGCGATGGTCACGACTGTCACACTGTCACTTATCTATTTTTAGGTTACCGCTGTATTCCTGCATAGATCGGTCTTTTTTAACAGCTTCATGCGTCTGTGATTGAGAAAAAAATCTGATAAGCTCTATATACCAGCTCAATATAATGCAACATATATACGAATATGTATATACATTTTAGATAAAAAACCGGTCAGTAAACTTTTATAAAACAATACTCTTTGAAATAATACAAGCAATAATAATTTTTATAATTACCTCTCTATATATCTTAAATGTGCATGAATTTTCTTCTAACTATATTTGTAATGTCATCAATTTTTCACGCTTGTTGAATATTTGCATCATGAGCACCAATAGCTAATCCCATCAGATCTTCTCGAACATTAAATTCATCGGTATATCTAAAATAAGGCAAATTTTACATAATGCAAAAACAGTAATTATTACTTACATCTGCTTATATATAAAATATGATTTCAAAGATAAATCTGTATAAAAAATCTATAGTTATTATAACGTATACCTTAGATTAGATTTGTACGAGCAAGTAATAAATATAACTAACCTCGCGAGACACCACGCGAGCACACGTCATTGCGTTAAAAGATATTTATTTACCAATATTATCCACATATATTATACATAATAGTGGATTATATATAATAAAAAATCCTACTAAACCTCGCGAGACACCACGCGAACACACGTCACGTCGCACGTCGCACGATTTAACACACGCGAAACTCGC